AACCAGGAGTAGAAAAAAATATTTGAAAGAAATTATGAATTTTCACTATATAATCAGTAGAGCCCCCCCCCCCTTCACCAGAACCCCTGACCCTGGGGCCATGAATTTCACAATTTCGGAAGAGGCATTCTTGCTTATCATAACCATGCACTTCCTTTGTTTAAATAATACCCAGGAGCAGAGACGATTTTCAAAGAATTGATGCATTTTCACTATATAATCAATAGAGCCCCGCCCTAACAGCAGAACCCCTGATCCAGGGGCCATTAAATTAATAATTTCTGAAGAGGCACTCTTGCTCATCATAACTATGTTCTTAGTTAATTTCTTTAATACCCATGAGCAGAGAAGATTTTCAAAGAAATAGTGCATTTTTTACTATATAGTCAATAGAGCCCCCCTCCTTTCACCAGAACCCCTGACACAGGGGTTATGAAATTCAAAATTTCTGAAGAGGCACTCTTGCTCATTATAACTATGTACTTAGTTAGTTTATTTAATACCCAGGAGCAGAGAAGAAGATTTTCAAAGTTTTAATGCATTTTCACTATATAATCAATAGAGCCCCACCCTAACACCAGAACCCTGACCCTGGTGCCATGAAATTCACAATTTTGGAAGAAGCACTCTTGCTCATCATAACTATGTACTTAATTAGTTTGTTTAATACCCAGGAGCAAAGAAGAAGATTTTTAAAGATTTAATGCATTTTCACTATATAATCAATAGAGCCCCCCCCCCTTTCACCAGAACTCCTGACCCAGGGGCCATGAAATTCACAATTTTGGAAGAGGCATTCTTGCTTATCATAACTATGTACTTACTTAGTTTATTTTATACCCAGGAACAGAGAAGATTTTCAAAGAAATAATGCACTTTTACTATATGATCTATATAGCCCCACCCTAGCCCCAGAACCCCTAACCCTGGGGTCATGAATTTCACAATTTTGGTAGAGGGCTCAGTGCTTATTACAGGCATTCCAACAGTTTGACTGCTTGATGTCCAGGAGTAAAGAAGAAGATTTTTAAAGATTGCGTTAATTTTAGTGGTTTTTGCCCCACCCCTCAGGCCCCAGGGGGGCAGGGACCATGAAATTCACAAATTTTGTCCCCCTTCACCCATAGATGCTTTATGCCAAATTTGGTTGAAATTGGTTGAGCGGTTTCAGAGAAAAAGCTGAAAATGTTCAAATGTTAACGCACGACGCACGCCGACGGACGAAAACGGATAGCAATAGGTCACCTGAGTAAACTCAGGTGACCTAAAAATGAGAACATTTTCAAAACCTCTTCAATTTTGATGATTTTTCATACTTCTTGCTTCGATACACAGAGCACAAGCTCACCTTTCTGAAGATTTCATTACCACTGTAACCTTATACTAGTGTCTGAAATGTGTAAATTAGAAGTTATGTGTTCTCTAAAATGAAATATACCTGAAAGGTAATGAAAAATGTAAATAAATATTGGGAAATGTAGGAAATTTTTGACCTTAACGTGAGGGCCCATCGTCGGATACCCACGGGTGATCTCGTCTTTTACTAATCACCCGTGACCAAACTTGCCGAAATATCGTCGTAAAATATGCTAATTTGTTGATTATGGATAACCAATCAGAAAATTGGAACGATTTAATTCATTGATTTGCCATCGCGACTCTGTGGAGCAGCCAATCAAATGGCCCGCGGATATTAATTACATAGGACGATTTTTCGGCGAGTTTGCCCACGGGTGATGAATAAAAGACGAGATCACCCGTGTGTATCCGACTATGGTGAGGGCCCTTGGATTATCTCATGCTCTACCATGAAATGTTCTTGCACACAATTCAGCACAATTTGTGGTAAACTGCAATGATATAGTCATTTTATGCCGAATGCTCCTTTTCAAAATAGGATATTCTTCAAAATCATATGTCAGTTTTACATATTTTTTCAATTTTTCTAACAATAAAATTGAATTTGAAAAACCATAATTATACTTGATTCCTGAACTATATAAAATTCTTACAAAAAAAGATACATATAGCGGTTCCAGTAAATGATCTACCAAGTCTCTTTCTTCACTCCGCACTAAAATATTAACAGCAGTTAAGGAGAACCTTCAGGAATATTGTACTATAATATATTCGAGAAGTGGTGTAAATCAGTTGTGGATACTTGTGGAAACTCGAAGGAAATTTTAGAAAATTTGAAATCACAAATTTTACCAAAATCAATTATATCAAAACGAAAGACCTTTCAACGCTTCATACAACCATTTCCCACGATAAATTAAAGTCCATGATTTTTGACATCATAGCTGCTTTAAATTTACTTACCTTGTCATTATATAGACATCTGCAAAATTGTTTTGTTAAAGACATTTTGATTGTACACAGCAGTACTCCAAAGTTGACATTAAAAAAAAGCTTGAGGTTCTGACCAACAATATCTTAAATTTTGTAGTTTTTGGAGGTCATGTCTTCTAACACTCTGTTAGAATTCTCGTGGGTACAATTGCACTCTTTTATTAGCAGACCTATTTTTTATTTCATATGAAGCAGAATTTATTCAAAGACTTGCACATGAGAAGAAGAAAACTCTTGCTGTGGCCTTTAACTCGACATTTAGATATGTAGACGCCGTGTGATCAATGAACAATAGTTTTAGGTCAGCTAATAACGGGGCGCAATTGGTACCCATGGAAATTTCGATAGATTGTTGGAAGACAATCTCCAAATACTACAAAGATTTTGTCAATCAGAAACTCAATAATCTTTTTGATATCAACTTCGGATATTTTACTAGAAAAATACCTTACTGGTAATCTAAGAACAAAACTTTACGATAAACGTGATGGCTTAAACTGTTCTATCGTCAACTTCCCTTATTTAAGTAGCAATATACCCTTATCATCTGCATTTTGAGTTTATGTCTCGTAGACATAACGCAAGCGTATTCTCTGCGTACGTACAATTTCTAAAATGAGGCAAATATCAACAAACAAGTTGATGAAACAAGTACCGTACGTATATACTCGCCTGTAAGTCGGTATTTTGGTCCAAAACTCTATGTCTCTTTTAGACGAGTCATAAAAAATTGGTATTATTTTGAATGGCAACATGTAGTATTTTATAAACGTGTCCGACGATTATCGTTGAATAAAGTCTGATATTAAAATATTATATCATTTTTGTATTCTAAGATTATGCATGAAGTACAAGTATTTACATACATGTATTTCAATAATTTTATTTTTATCTTAAGTGTACACTACTTATTTTTTTAATGATTTAAAATTAAATATTGGCGTCATACATGTACCTAACAAAAAATACTTAAACCAGGTTAAAACATCATCAAAACATTGATTTGAAATTGTCAACCGGTTCTTGCAAAGTTGTACCGACTTATATGCAGGTCAATGGCAAATCCTTCAAAATAACCTCAAAAATTACAACCGACTTATAGGCAAGTATATACGGTATATCAAAAGTCTCGGTTAAAGTTCTATGATCGAAACAATGACCTTATCAAAAAATACAATCTATCATCGAATGCTGACTGACGTTTTTCATATTAATTGTTAGGCCATTATTTTCAAACCGAATTGTCTACGGATTGACTCATTTGCCCAATCATGACAAGGAGCACACAGATAATGTGACAGAGGATGCTCACTCCTCCATTGCACCTGATCCTACTTCAAAACTTTTTAAAGGTCTGTGTTTGCTCTGTTCTCGGTTTGTATTGTAAGCTTGATTACTGTTCGTTATCTCCATATTTCATTGTATAAAAGTAAAGCAAAATGGATTTTGATATAAAATTCCTTGGTATATAAATATATACCACTAAAGGGGCCTGGACAAAGTTTCATTGCCGTTTGTTTTCAAATTTAAATTTCCACTTTTATTCAAAACTTGAGTTTACTGAATTGAAGTTACATGCACATTTTTAAAATTCAATAACAACATTTTTCATAATATTAGGTCAAATATCATGGGAAGGCGTTCTGTATTTGTTAACGTTTACGTTTTGCTGGGTGTGTTCAATTTGTTTACGTCGCCCTAGTGGCGCAGTGGTTAGACCGTTTGCTCTAGAGTCGCGGAATGATTCGATCCTTAAGTGTTTTGTTCGAATCCCAATGCGGGACGCCGAGACCGGCCCTTTGGATGAGACAGTATAAACCAAGGTCCCATGTCTCAGTAATTGCTGGCACAGAAAAGATCCCTCACTGCTCAAAGGCCGTAAGTGCCGAATATACAGTTCTACAGCAAGTGGTGGCGTCTCAATATGAGTGAAAAAATTTCCAAGGGACGTTAAAAAATCAAACAAACGAGCTGTTTGCTCGGCACACATCAGTGAGCACAAAATGACAACGCTGGTGTGTTTGTTTTGCTTTCTTACGTTATTTTAAAAAAAAAATCATTATTGTATTTTTATTATCTTTCATTATACACAACAAATTTTCTACTCTTCTTAAAAACTAAGAAAAGATTATTCTTCATAAAAGAGAAAGAATGTCTGTCAATCAAACGCGTCCCGAAATTCGTAGTTTAAAATAAAAATCAGTCAGATAAAAGTTTATAGATGCGCTTTTATAATGTATCAGTCGGATGTGCTAAAAACATGTAATTAATGATATTATACCGGAAATTTGGGAAAATATTAAGTTTAAATCTGTGTTCAAGCCCCTTTAATTTTGCGTGACAGACAGAGGAAGTACTATATAACTAATTTTTAAAACATCATTCGACCAGGAAGTTATTCATTTTGACATTTCCTTGTGCATGAATTTATTTCAAGCTTTTCAGTTTCAACACAAAAAGGTGAATTTTTCAAGTGATGTGCATTATGACATTGACACAAACCTAGGATCATCGAAGCTCTCTTGGTATACATCCATGAATAGTATATAGAACTCTTAGGTATGGCAAATTATTTCTGTTTTGGTTTTAAAAGCTCGAGAGAGAATAAAGGCAAATTGTTATATTTTGATATTTGTCTTTTATAGGAAACAATGAAAGTGCGTTCGTGGTTTTCAGCCGTGCTTCGAACGATTCTTATTCCGTTTTCAACTGCTGATGCAGAGGTTTATTCCGAAGAAAATGAAAATGATGTGAACGAAGAGATATCTCCCACACTGACCTTTGCACATCTGGTATCTTGTTTGTGCGTGGTTCTTGGTATTTATTCCGGGAAACAGACGACCGATGATACTGCGCGGTTTGTTGTTTGGGGATTGGTTATGGGACTTGTCGGATGCGGATTGTTGGCCTTGATTGTCTTGATATGCTCTAACTCGTTCGTGCAAAGTCCACCTAACAAAGAAATGCCTAAAGACTATTCTCTTAATTTAAGAGTTGTTTTTCTCTGGCTGTTTGGACTGGGTGTCATTTTGAAAAGCGCTGTATACATAGCTATCAAAATCGAATGTTTTCCAATCGTGTCTGATGATTTTATGATGTATTTAAGTGTCCTTAGTACATTCATGTTTATTTGTTTTATTATTTTGCAAATGGGAACCATAACATACTTCAGAAATTACCATTTCAAAAAGTCAACCCAAATCAATTTTGTAATTGTATTTCTTTCTCTGGCAAATTTTGCTGTATGGTTGAATTCTGTTGTGAGTAGTTTAAATGGTATTTATGCTACAAACCCGAATGAAACAGTACATATGAAAACCTTTAAAAACGAATCGGAATGCTTCTTTAGTTCTAAGATCCAAAAAGACTTAGCTCTAAAGCTTCTTCCCTTTTTGTTACCAACTCAGATGGAATTTTTCATCCTAGCATCAAGTTTTGTGTTGTCATTTTGGCATTCTTCTACAGAACAAGAGTGCTGGATAACTGAAATTGATCTTGAAGAGACTGGAACAGATGAATCTCAGGAACTTTTACCCCTGTTACCTCGAAATACTGAAAATCGGGCTACTAACGTTGCTGTTATTATGATTTCCGTCATATTGAATCTGCCCACGTTTCTAACATGGCTTCTTCTTTCGTTCGTGTATCCGGATAACAATAAAGGACTTCGCAATTCATATGAAATCTGCAATTGTGTTAATTCAATTGCGATTATCATAATTGTTTACATTGCGTTTGACCATTTGTCGAAAACGTATTCCACGAGTCAATATCAGCGTTCTCTTACAACAAGTGAAACCATTCTGGTGTTCAGCTCTGCAGGTGTAGTAGCGTATAGTACTTATGGACTTCTTTTCGCCTTGCAGGGAAACATTGAGGAACATTTGGCTCTGTTTTTGCGAAACTTTATTGAAATAATAGAGACTTTTTTACAAACATCTCTATTAATACAGTGTCAGCGGTACATATTATCTTGGCAAAGATCTTCACTTCTTTCTTCCCTTGCATTAATTTTGACGATAACAAACTTAATAAATTGGTTTCTCTATTCCATCTATCAAAATGTACCAGCAGAAGGGCAAGAGAAAATTGTTGGCAATAGGCGAAATTGGGCATATGTTCAAACCATTCTTGTCCCATTGCTAATCTTTTATAGGTTTACATCTGCTATGAATTCGTACTCACTTTATCATCAGATAAAACCATGACTTTTTCATTGATATATGAAGAATTGTGCTATGTATAATTTTAATAATTGAAACTTGTAGAATACATGTTTATGGCACTATTGAAGATAACTGTATAATTTCACCGTAAAACATTAACAAATGCAAGGAAAACATTGAATAAACAAGCAATCTTTTATCGTGTTTGAAGAATTTAACAGAGAATTATATTTTCAGTAATAATGACAACGCAGCTCGTCAATATCTAATAGGCGATATAAAGATTTTGGTTATCTAGTTTAGTTTATTCGTGATCTAAATTTTATTGAATTGAACATAAGTTGTAGAAGTCACATTTTGAAAAATTGTTTACGGACAGACAGACGGGCAATTTAACTTCGTATAAGCTCTGACTTCTGATCTTTGACCATTAGAACTAAAAATTAAGAAAATTATATTCAAATTAGATCTTAAAATTCGAATTCAAATGAAATCCTTTTAATAGTATTATACAGTTGTTGACTGCAGCTGGGGTAGAGGGAAATAGTCGATCTGTTGGACCAGAGTGCAAGCTGTTGCCCAAGGCCTAGGCCGCGGGCAACAGCTTGAACTCCGGTCCAACAGATCGACTGTTTCCCGACTCGGAGACTCCTGTCAACAACTGTTTTGTTATGCTCCTAATAAATCAAATTCATGAATTTAAAACAAAATAAAACATTTTTTTGTATTTTTACTGTCCCTTCTTTCAAGTACCACCTGGATTTCATCTTCGTTCGCCGCAGCAAAACGAACATCGCCCATTTCTATTTATCTTAACGACAGATTTATATTACTTGGCTGATTACATTTAATGCACGGTTACCCGAATCAGCCGAGGTTTGCCGAATGAGGAAAAGATAACTCAATGTAGCGCCATTTGACGTCAGCGGGCAACTGTCCTTTTTTAACAGTCCATATAAACAGTTCCTGGACCGACAGTCGGGGGAAATAGTCGCAACGTTGGATTTAAAAAAAAAAAAAATAATAAGAAATTATATTGGGACTGTTTAGTAGGGGTATAACAAATATATTTGTTATACCCCTACTAAACAGTCCCTATATAATTTCTTTAAAAAGTCCAACAGTTCGACTGTTTTCCCCGACTGTCGGTCCAGGAATTGTTAAAACAGACTGTTAAAAAAGACTGTTGCCCGCTGACGTCAAATGGCACTAAATTGAGGTATCTTTTCCTCATTCGGCAAACCTCGGCTGATTCGGATAACAGTGATTTAAATGTAATCAGCCGAAGAGTGCCGAGTAATTTAAACCTGTCGTTAAGATTTATAAACAGAAATGGCCGATGTTCGTTTTGCTGCGGCGAACGAGGATGAAATCCAGGCTATGCTTGAAAGAAGAGACAGTAAAAATACGATAAATGTTGATAAATACACGTAAAGTCACTCTCTCCCAAAAGAGTTTTATTTTCTGTTAAATTTATGAATTTGATTTAGTAGGAATATAACAAAACAGTTGTTGACAGGAATCTCGGGAAACAGTCGATCTTTTGGACCGGAGTGCAAGCTGTTGCCCGCGGCCTACGGCCTTGGGCAACAGCTTGCATTCCGGTCCAACAGATCGACTGTTTCCCTCTACCCCAGTCAACAACTGTATAATATAGCACTACTACTAAATATAAACTGCCAAACACTATGTAATTAGAATGCTACATGTTTAATTTGAAGTTTATAACCAGTTGTAAAGAAAGAAATCCGGACCGCTATGAAATACGTCCGGTCACTCAGGTGCACTCTGGAGAGTGCCATTTATATAATTGAACGAATTAATTATCGCTAACTGTCTTATTCTCTCAAAATAGCGTAACTATTCATGATAAAAAGAAACCAAAGAAAGATAATATGGAAGGGAAATTTTACAATATGAATTTGGATGTATTATACATTTTGAAATGTTTTTATGACTGTTTATCGGATAAAAGAAATAATAAACAAAAATGTATTACAAGCAATACATCTGTGTGTGAGTTGTTCCAGAATTGATAATGCGAATTAACGGTGTAAAGTTATCACTATATAGAGAGAATAAACTTGTTTGTTACAATCAGGAATTGGGTCTAGTTCACGTTCATCCTGGTAAAGTCATTTAGTTTGTTGATACCATTAGGACGGAATGACTTCAGTCTGTGCATCCAGAATTTTTTCTTGCATTTTCTCTGAGCATCGGTCACTAAATGAACTTTCTGAAATATTTCATCCGTATTACCGTGTTTATTCAAATGCGTAGCAACTAACGTTGAACGTATTATGACGTCACAATGTACATACAATAGAAAGACAACGTCATGAATCTAATTTGCGCGAACAACATCTGAAAAGATTACGAGAGTTACAATAGTGAAGAAATCAGATACATATATTTGGACTCTAAATAAGGTTAATATATGTATCATCTGATTACTTTACTATTGCAACTCTCGCAATCTTTTCAAATGTTTTTCGCGCAAGTTTGATTCATGACGTTGTCTTTCTATTGTACATGTACACTGTGACGTCATAATACGTTGTTCAACACGACTGACGAAGGCCGGTAACACGATTGAAATATTTCAAAAAGTGTTTAAAAGTTTTTTTATTCTATTACAAAAAAGAGACTTAAGGTACTCGACCGGAAAAACGTCCGAATAACCGATTATCAAAAATTAACCGATTTGATATATATATATATATATATATATATATATATATATATATATATATATATATATATATATATATATATATATATATATATATATATAATGAACGTGAAGTATGGGAAATCGCCGCAGTCACGTTGTAAAAAAAGATACGTACATGATGTATCGTTACGCCTCAAAACCTGAAACCATTCCTTCTCAAAGTAACGAATGCAATGCGCTACGCTAAACTGAAGTTCCAACTTCCAGAACACATTATCCTTATCCTATAATCCCTTGCACTTCGTTATATAATGCATTACAGTATTAAATATTAGATTATATTCTTACCAAAAATGCACAGCTTTGAGTAGGCGATCTTCATTTAAAACAGACTTTTGAGAGGTTTCATCAGATCTTGTAAAGCAATTTTCTTTAACATTTTAGTACCAAACAAGATGTGTTTGTGAAACAGTGATGCTCCCGTATAGCAGCTCAAAGCCAAGGTTAAAGTTTATCAAATATAGGTCAAACTCCAAGGTCAAAGTTAAAAAATATTGATTGAATTAATATACCCAAAGAAAGGTCTTGTTCAAAAGTAGGTCAAACTCAAAAATCAAGCTCGTGAGGTTAAACATGTTTGTATCCCAGCAAGGGTCTCGTCACAAGGAATACAAATGTAATATATGAAAGCCCCAGGAGCAATCGTTCTAAGGTTAAAATTTTCAGAAATAGGTCAAACCAAACTCTACGGGCAAGTTCAAACATTTTCGTACCTAAAAAAAGGGCTGATCACATCAAATATACTTGTGAAATATAAAAGTCTTAGCACCAACCATTCAAAAGTTATGGCCAAGATGAATAAAGTTTGGTGAAATTTTGCAAAAGTAGGTAATGTGATCAAACTCCAAGGCCAAAAATGTTGGTACCCAAAGAAAGGTGTGTCACAAGTAATACAAATGTCAAGTTATGGGCAAAGTCAGTTTTTCAAAAAGTATGTCAAACCTTAAGGTCAGGTCAAAAATGTTTGTATCCAAGGGAAGGTGCTTTTGCCACTGATAGGTCATCTGTACACAATATTCAAAAGATATAAAGAAGAATTTAGTAGTACATGTAGCTCTGCCTGTTCTCCGTTCAAACGAACAAAAATATGCTGATGTGTGCATATTCCTTACAAGTATGAAAACTATATGACTTAAATATATACCAGTCTGCTTGAGTACAGGTCGTCGAAGTTCACATTGGAAGACAAGTTGACAAGGAAAAGATTCAGTGGAGGAAAAGGGTACGGACAGTGTTAAATGATAATGACAGACTATGTAAATCAGAAACATTTTAAGCATCTGCAATTCATTACATTTGAAATGTTTTACTGCTTGATGCATTTCCTTGCGCTTATTTTCAGAACTTTATACAATTAGCAGTCTTTTAGTAAGGGATCCATGAATACAACAAGAATCAAGTAAGATTGATTGATTGGTATGTTTAACGTCCAGTTCGAGAATTTTTAACTCATAAAGAGACGTCACCGTATGACGGCAAAGGGCTTCAAATTAAGACCTATACTTGGCACTCAGGACCATTGAGCAGTGAGGGTTCTTTAACGTGCCAACGCCAACCGTGACACGGGACCTCAATTTTTAAGGTCCCATCCGAAAGACCAGTGACTTTCACTTCTGGTGCCGGGCGCTTGGCGAAGGAACAGTCACTTTACGGCTTAGGATTGACGGCGCAGCGAAGGAGAATCGAATTCGGGCCTCCCGATCACGAGAAGCAAATTACACGAACAGTTAAAAAGAATGTTCAGTGCAATTATGATCATAATAAGGACTCTTTCATGTCAATCACACGTGCTTGTATAGTGAAAACTTTGTGTGATTTCTCTGGTATGGAACACACAAATTCCATGCCAGTAAGGAACCTCTAGCCCTTTTCAAAAAAATCCTAATTTTGTACGAATCTCATACAAAAAATATTAAGTGCTTTTCACGGATTTCCATAATGACAGACTTCTTTACTAGAATACGATCTTAACATGCTTTATAATCCTTGAAACAGTGGATCAGAATAAAATGAAGCGGTTTTCAACACTTGTAAGTGAAACAAACATGGAAAACAAAAATCGAGGGCATCGATTGTTTGAAATCTGACGTCACAATCACAAATCGTAAATTGTCATACAAAATTCTTAATATATCATTAAATTTTTCAACAGTAATTGTAAAATAATATAAATGCATTGGAAGCATGCGTAAAAAAAAGTTCTATTAAACGTGTTTTTAGGTGTTATCTGTTTATTTTTAAATTAAAATCGACTCTAAAATACTTATGAGAGGGTAAGAACTCTTGTAAATTACAAATTTTATGATTAAGAAACTCTTAAGAATTTTTGTGATTTAACGTCAGGTTTTTATCATAAAAATTAATCATAAGATATTTTGTTAAAAGGGCTACTGTTCTGGAATTACAAAACACAGCAATTTGTTCTGTATATGACA